TGCTGACAAACCTCTGAGGGGAAGAAATAAAAGAGACTTTGAGGGAGGAGGCGTTAGCATTTGGGTGTGAGGGTGAAAGAAAGCTGAAGGAAAGCTTTCAGGGATGGTGTACCCCCCGTACCCACCTGCACATCTCCTCACTGTTCTCCTTCAGAGGGAACCTGCTACAAACACGACTCAAGATTCAACTGGAAAAAGCAAATCCTCACCAAGAATAAATCAACAAATAAAAAACAAACAAAAAAGAATGAAATACAACTGGGATCCCTGGAAGATATGCACAAGGTGCCCACCAAGACCAATTCCTTGTAGCCCAAGCTCCACGCTGCAGAAATCATTAGAATCTGCTGTGCTGATCTCCCCTTGTCTGCAGGGATGATGACAGGACCTCCCCATGGTCTGGATTGCAGAGGGAGATAGAGGTGCAGCATGGCAGTGAGCTCACCTTCCTGCAGCCCATGTTGCTGTTGGACAGAGTTTATCCAGTGCTCTGAAGGGACAGAAAATCTGACACTGGCCCACAACATGCATTTAAATCAGCTTCATGCTCCCAAGGGCATGGAGAGCACCATCCATGCTTTGAAATGCCTACAAGACGACTGTTAGGCATCTTCTGCTCAGCTTGTTGCCTCTGCAACAAACAGAGGCAACTTTTACTGGCCCAGCAGAAAAGCAAATGCAAAAATTCCTCCCTGCCTTTTTCTTTCCCAGCTAAATGTCATTATCACAGGGACAACAGGAACCCTCCCATTACAGGCTGCCATTAGCTTCATGTGATGGATCCCAGTCCTGGGAAGATACCCATGCAGGATTCATCACTGGATGAGAAGTTGCTCTCACAGATGAAGCTTTATGAAGCGACGTGGTGGCAGCCCCTCGCAGCAGGATGCTGCAGCACAACCACAGCTCAGCATCCAGAGAAGCAACAAGAGCTTGTGTTTCCTCTCCACGTTACCATCCCTCACCACCACTCATGGTAACGATCCACATACTTTTTTCCATGAGTGCTACTTAAGGCAACAACCACCCACAAATGAGCACAGGGAGGGAGATATGGAGGGGAGGGGATTTTCCCCAGCCTTCGCTGGCACTTGGAAAAACTATGTTCATATCAGAGTCCCCCAGTTACCAGAACTGCCTTCCGATTCACACCTGAAAGTTTTGTGGGTTCAATCCCCACCCTGGGGACAAATCACACTCAGATCATCTCACTCACCCCAGCCCTAAAAAAAACAGATATTTAACAAGGTGATGACTAACCCTGAGAGATTCTCGTAGGCAAACCGTCTCCAGGGATGTTTGTTACTCGAAGCGAGGTGGCCGTTTCCTCCTAAGGGCTCTGATCTACCAGCATGGAAGGCCCCCCAAGAAAAGGGGTTCTCCAATTTCCTTCCCCATTGGTGATGTTGAACTCAGAGGTTTGGATCTTTGCTTTGAACTTTTATCAGACATGAAAATGCTTTGTCTTCCAAAGCCTACGCAGCTTCTGCTTGAGGGTATGATGGGAGAAGCAAAGTAGCCCTGCTTTAACTCAAGGGCATGGAGCAGGACCTGGGCAGCAGCAAGGTCCCACTCATTTCCAACCCCTTGGCAGCACTGTCAGCCTTGATGGTACAACCTAGCCAGCTGGATCCCAGGTCAGTGAAGCTCCCACCCATTTTGTTGGTTAACTTTCCAGTTAAAGCTTCATTTTTCCTGCTGGTGTGGAAATACATCTCCTACATCATGCTCCTTCACAGCTGGGACAAACCAGAGCTGCACATCCCAGCAGCAGCCCCCACCTCATGCCCCACCAGCTGTGCAGACAGGAGCCTTTGTTCTCCAGAGCTGTCACTCGAGAGTGAACCAGCGCCTGGGAGCGAGCTCAGAGCAGCAGCTCCACGTTGGAAATGAGCACTTAAAGCACAAGGAACTTTCTCTGTAACCTGGAGGTGACAAAGCAGCTTCCACAGCAGGGAGCCAGTGTCTGCCCAGGATGGAAAGGTCTCTGCCAACAGACATCACACCCACAAAGTAGCAAAGAGGTGAGAAGGTTGGTTGGGGAACGCAGAGGAAGGTGAAGAAATGGGAGAAAGAGAAGAGGAGGAGACACGGAGGCAGGTACGCTGCCAAGTAGCAGGATGCAGGAGATAAGAGAGCTGGGGAGGAGGTGGAGGGTTCTTGGAGATTGGGGTGGTTACCAGGAGCTGCTGAGGTGTGATGGAGTTGTCTGTGTAAATGCAGAGTTTCTCCACGGTCAGGGGCATGGTTTCTCGTAACTTGGAAGCCAGGAGCATACAGACAGCTCCCAGAAGCTGCAAATGGTTTTTCCTCACGGAGACTAACGACAGGTAACGATCCACATAATTCATGGCCAAGGGGAAGACCTCTTCTTCACACTTCTGCTCCTCGCACACCTGACAAAACCCAATTGCAAAAATAAAACAATTAAATAAAAGGAAGTTTTAATCAGCACAGGACTCCCCAAACATCACCTGCACTGCACCTTCCAAAGCTTCTGGTCATGCATGATGGTGTTTCACACTTATCTGCAGGGCTTTGAAGGCACCTGGCTGCTAAGGAGTGAATTGGCTACAGGCATGAAGCCTATGACTTCGGTGGGATTACACCAAGTTTGACCAATGCCTCAAGACTTCAGCTTCCTACAGAAAGCTGCAGAAGTTTTGTGCACTCTTTCTAGCTATAGAACTTTAGACCAAAATTACTTTACTTGGCCCCTTTTTTCCATGTCCCCTGCTGGGGATGTCTCCAGCCAGCTGTACAGCAAAGCTGCCATTTGCTGCTCTGTGGGGACAAGGGACCTCTGGAGAAAATGAGCAATTCCAACATATCTTCAGCTGGAGACCTAATAGAGCAGGATCCACAGCCACTTCTGGCAATTCCACCTTAAGTGGTCCAGAGACATGAGAAGAATCAATGGCAGAGCCCAACTCAATGGTTGAATCCCAAAGTCTTCCTCCTCCCTCAGCCACACTCACCACAGCCAGGAGCAGAATCCAGGAGCTCTGAATTTCAGTCCCCTGCTCTTATCTCAACCAGTATCAAAACATTAGTCATATTTAACTTCCTTCTTTCAACGCCACCATGAAAATATGGAGGTTTCTCCTCAGATAGCAGCAAACACCCCCCATTCCCCTTCCAGCAGCGACTGCCTCCCCCTGCACAGACCGTCACAGCGCCAGGGACACCGACACGCAGCGTGGTGACAACTGCCAAGTGTCACCTACTTCTCAAGCACCTTTAGGGCTGCACAGGAACAGGCTCCAAAGCAGCATTTTCTCTAACTACCCTTTTCAGAAAGGGAATTGCAGAAACAGAAAAATAATAGAAAAAAAAAAAAACAAAAAAACCCCAAACCCAAACTTTAAAAAGCAAGATGTGAATTATTCCTTTTGACAGAAGCAGGCAGCTTCTTGCAACAGCAGCCAGGGTGGAGAGCAGGCTCCATCCCAGAGTCATTTGTCCTTTGCAGAATCTGGTCTTTTTTTGCTTTCTCTGTTGAGATTTTTCACTCTGACCATCTCATCGAAGGTCCATGAGATGTTCCCCACGGAGCTGCACCCCACAGAGAGCCGCCTTCATGTTTCATTTAGAGCAGGCAATGGGAGCACTATTCTTTCCCCCCCTTTAAACAGACATTTTCAGCCCCATTCAGGAAACTCGAGTCTCTGCCGGGTGCACAGCTGAGAGCTCTGCACAGAAGATTTGGGGAG